GCAGAACTTCTTCAGCGAGTTCCAGATGGAAGGCGTCTCCGAGGACAACAATGCCATCTACGTGGAGCTCGCGGCCGAGAACCTCTCCCGCGCCCTGAAAACCGCGCAGAACGCCCGGGCCTTGAAGGTCAAGCTGACCAACAAGCACTTCCCCTGCCTGACGGTGTCCATAGAGCTGGTGAGGAGGGGCCCGGCTGGGCAGTGGCTGCAGCAGGGGAGGAGGGTCAGGGCAGCAGGGCCGCAGGGCAGGGTGGCGGGAACGCGGTGGAGAGGGAGTGTCCGCCCAGGGACGGCCGTGCAGCTAGACTGCCCTGGAAGCCCTTCGCGTTCCTGCCGGGTGGTGGCCTCGGGCACCGGTGTGGGTCACAGAGGGACGCTGCCATGTCGGTGAGGAGCGATGTCCGGCGGTGACAGCCCGCAGGGAGGCCCTTCCGCTCTGCTGACTGGTCCCGGGGCAGGGACTGTGGTGATGCCCAGGCTCCTCTGCCTCCTGCCCACACTGCTGGAAGGAGGAGGATGGAGAGGGAATTCTAGGGGGGCCCCTCGGGGGAAGCAGCAGGGCACCGGGCACAGTGGGAACCCTCTGGCGCCGGTGCAGGCACCTCCCCTCCTCGCGTTTCTGGGTGGAAAGGCCTGAGTCCTGGGCATCCCTCCGAGGACCGCCGTGTCCCTGGTGCATGAAGGCCTCTAGCCGAAGGCGGGTCCTGGGACCAGAAGTGCCACAGGGACTGGTTGCCGAGGTAACCAGAGGCAGGAGTGAGCTAGTGAAACTCTGATAGTTTTTATTTTCATATTTTAAAAAGAACTTTATTCAGACAGTTTAAAAACCCAGGATTCTGGAGCTTTTAAGCTTCCACGGATTCCAAACCTAGGTAGTGAGCGGGCACCTGCCGGCACTTGCTGTACGGACATTCTCATGCTCTGGTTTTCTCGTTGGGCTTGTAGGTGAGCATTTATCTGCCGGTCTTGAAGACGATGAAGAGCGTTGTGGAAAAAATGAAAAATATCAGCAATCAGCTTGTAAGTCACAACTTCTTTAGCAAAGAGCTCTGAAGTGTTTGCTGTGGGCTGCACGCCTGCCCGAGGTGTGGGTGCCCTGGCACTCAGCGTGCGGGGTCCCCTCATTGCCGGTGGTTGAGAGCTACAGCTTCCCAGGCGCCTGGGGAACCCGCCCGGGTGCTCTCCAGGGGCTCCTTGGGGAGAGTGTTCACGTCTGCCTCCTGCCTGTGTTTATACTCACAGTAGATTCAACACTGGCTTCCCTCCCTTACGCCCTGCACACCGTGCGTGCGATGGCTCCGTGGGAACGGAGAACACCCACGCGGCGTGGCCGGCGGGCTTCCTGTCCGCCCCTCAGGCCCGCCGGTTCCTCGCAGGTGTCTGTGTCGAGCAGCAGCCGCATGGTGACCCACGACATCCCCGTGAAGGTCATTCCCAGGAAGCTGTGGAGGAACCTGCAGGAGCCCACAGTCCCAGACTCTGACGTGAGTGGTGGCAGCCCCGTCGCTCCCACGTGCCCAGTGGCGTCATTAACTCCCCGATGTCAGCACGGCTTTGCGTCTGCTTGTTGGAAAGCATGCTCCTTTCTGAAGGCTGCTCCAGGAGGAACGGGCCTGTGCCGGGCTGTTCCCGTAAAGACCCTCAGTCAGCACGCCTGTGGCAGGAACCGGTGGAGAGGGAGTGTCCGCCCAGGGAGGGC